CAAGCAGTTTGACTGAAACACATTACATACCAGGCAGGGAAATTTTTCCGTATGAAGAAATAAAAACTGTGAGAATGATTGAATCGTCCTCCACTTACAAAAAGACAAACATATTGGTGTGATTTTCGATCACTGATTGAGTGAAACAGGTTAGAAGAAATACTGTAATCTTATGTCAACATCTTACACTAAAACAAAATGAGGGATAATATCAAGTTGTCGATATTCCCTTGGACAGGTTGTAAACACCATTAAACAATTACTACGCATAAACTTGTTACTTCTTAACGTCTGCCTAACTGTATTTGTATGTGCATGTATGCACATGTTCTAAACACTGTGAAAATATGATTTACTTCCAAGCATATATAATGGTTGAATGAATATAAATGTCAGGTGTGTGTAGAAATGGATGTCGAAAAAGAATGTTGGTAAAGTGAATACCTTTCTGCGTTAATCAAGTGAATGTCCGTTAATTACGTTACGCATTTCTTTTTATCTGTTTGATAAAAATCTTTATATAATAAACAGAACTTCACTGTTTTCCAGTGCGCAAATACCCGAAAGAAAAAAAACACATCGAAATGTGCAAATTAACGGTTTCTTCTCATAAATCCGAATATAAATGTAAATAAAGTAGCAGCTGGGATGTTCTTTGATAAGTATATTTGGTTTATTCGGTTAAAAATGTATTCGTTTTCATGTGATCGGCCTGCTTTACATATGTGAAGGATAGGCATACCATAGCAATTCCTACTGATCTCTGTTGAGTTTGTAATGAAATTCTATCGACGAGAAATAATGGTAGCCTTCAGCCTATACTACACTACAATTTTAGGGAATATTCCGTGTATGTATCTGACGCTTTGTATTAAGCGGTAACAGCATTTTCATTTCATTCAACTACATACGCACGCATCTATATCTCGAGAATTCAAACTTATAGTTTTTCCTTCATTCTCCTACATTAGCCTTACTGTTATTTTAAACCATGGTATTAGATGGACAGAAAACCTGATTTTTCATATTAGACACATTGTGTTGGAGTATTTATCTATTAACCAAATGAAAATTATGTGAAAGCAGTTGCATTTATTTTCATTTTATGACACGGCTAGGTTTTGATCTTGCTATGCGTTTAGAAATTTTTTTGTTTTAGAATGTCGGCTTAGTGACCGTTGGGACCATTGACCTTTCAGTTAGATCTTTCGCTGCAAGTCTGTAATTTAACTTGGTTTACTGGTTAATCCTAAGCCTTAAAGGGATGGAACATCGTTCATGGAGCTAGCAACCCCACTTCATAACTACTGAAACTGTAAACCACAGTCAGAATCTTGAAAACTCCTCATTTCGAGGGTGTATGACGCCTACGGGAAGCCAGTCACCCAGTGTGTCTTCTTTCGATGAAAGCATGGAGATATGGAGTGTCCAGACCTTATGTGAGGTTGTCAACATTCCTCAGATTACTGAAGAAATGAGAAGACATGGTACAGGAGTGCTAACAACCTGTGAAGGAAGATGGGATAGAAGTGGAATGCCCAGATTATTTACTGGTGAGTCAGTAATATATTCCAGTCATACAGATGACATTAATACGCACACTGAATGTGTAGATGTTATCACCACATATTTGTACCCCACCCTCATTTGTGTATAAAGTCAAGTTTATTGCTAATATATCTCACGGTGATTCACAGAATAACGTTCCTGGAATATACTATCCTATAATTAGATAATTTGTCTGACTACTACGTACCTGTCCCTTGAAATTTTCAAAAGTCGTCACCAAAGGTGAAGACCATCTTTATTGTTACTTTGTAAGCATCACTTTTATGTGCAAATCTGACAACCTCTAAAAACCTGCGAGTACATGCCAATAATTTCAATGATGTTTGATTTCTCATCAGTGAGTTACTTTTTCACATTCCTAATGGGAAGTCACTATTTTAGCGTATAAGAGCAACTATGTTTTGATAACAAATAATGGTAGTCTCACTTTATTTTGAATACACACAAGTTGAAACACTTGTACATCTGAATTGTAACAGTGCGATCAAACGGTAATTGACCCACTGAATGAACTGATTTACTTGCTCTAGCCTGATCATATATAGCGAAGGAGAGTTATCCAGCCCATATCATTTTTTTCTTTCTTTCACGTTCCCAGTGAAACATAGGGCTTCGAGCTAGTAGCTTGAAGTTTATGTAGCAGTGTTTAATTTTACAAGATGGGGTAGCTAACCTCACGCCCAACCTTTCCTCTTTACCAGCATTATTTCTGGCTTAGAGAGGTAAAGGAGTGCGTCGGCCGGGGATCGAACCCCGGACCAGCTTAGTGAAAAGTAATTCTCCAGTCCTTCCCAGTTATGCATAATGATCTGCGTATTTTCATTTTGTGCTAACTCAAAGGTTACTTTGTTTAACGTAAACTCATGTAAGAAGATAATTATGAGCTGAAAGAATCAGGTTATTTAGATGGACTTTGCATATTCAAGTTGTTTACTCTGACTAACGAAATTTTATCGTTTATGACTTGTTCGATCAGCAGTAGACATAAGAACTTTTATCAGCACAGAGATGTCCGTGCCAAAGATCTACGTTATATAAATTCATGTGTGAAGTCTGAAAGAAATTTATCCGTAAGAATTTCAATTCGGCATGTAATTTGTAAACATTCTCAAATACAGAGCAGTCATGAATTTGGCTTTACCAAAGGATTCAAATCATACATTTTATCAGGTTATGTGGGGAAATTTCTTTTTCAAACTGTTATTTCCCAGGAGACTCAGTCGTTGGATTCACAACTTTAAATGTCTACAAATTTACTTTGTAAAGTAAAAGTAAGTGATTCTCAATGGGATCAAATCATCCACTAATTGGTTTGTTACTGCCATTTGAACAGAGCAAGAAATAAGGCAGGTTAAAGGCAAACATAAATTTATCAGTAAAGCAGGGATCACATAGATTATATCCTTTTTTATTGATTAATTTACTTACTGAGTTGGATTTAAACCAGTCTTTCTCCTTGCATACTTCTGCGTTATGATGTAAATAGTTACTGTGATTTGAACAGCTATTTGTGGCGTTTATTCCCTCAGTTCCCCGACTGTCTAATCTGTAATGCTCTTTGATTTACTCAGCCACTAATTAAATTCAAACTTTGCTATTTATTTCCCTGATAATCACTTTTAGTCACTGTAATTACGGGCTAAGAACAGCCTGAATCAATAGAATAAAGTTGGTTCCATTTAGTATCACATATTTTATCCTGTCTGCTTTTGAACAAACATGTCAGTTGATATTTTCAAATTGCTAATTAAATAGCAATTTACAAAGTTTGAGGTGAAATCTCACCACAGTTTCCCTTGAAATCTGGAATAATTCAAATCGGAAACTGAGATTTGCGTCATACCATAAAAGGCTCTCAAGAAAAAAATCATAAATGCATGACGCTTTGTACTACTGATTGGTTTATATGATTAATTGTATATTAAGTGAGGTAAGTGTTGTACAACTACGCATATCAGTCAATAGCATATAGCATCGTTTTGCACTTATATTTGGCTGTCTGAAACCAAAAGAAAGCGGAGACAAGCTGTCATAATGAACACACTCTCAAGTTATTATTTTATCAGAATTTATTATTTGTCTAACGTCCATTTCACTTTTGCATGACTGACTACTTGTACTCCTTCACTTAGTTTATAGCTAAATTTATCTAAATCATATTTGTACACAGAAAAGAAAAGAAAGTATGTTAAGGGAGAATGATACCTAATGCACAGATACTGATGACTAGATGTTGTATCCTCTAAAGTCAGTCAAACGGGAATTTGCTTAGGTAATACAACTTTCCTTAACCGGCCATGTCTTCACCATGTAGTAAAGTTCAGTCGACTTTTGTCTTCTAAATGTCCATCCTGTCGGAACACAGCAGTACAATGATTTTCGCACCAAAACACAGAGTATTGGTCTAGGAAAATGGTCTTATTGTAGGAATGAACTTAATTTCCATTAATGAAAAGTTATTTACGTGATCTGTTGTAATAACCTTCAGTTTACAGTTAACGATGATGTCGTCTAGAAGGATAATGAAAATTCTGGAATCAAAACATTCAACTTAGAGAACACAGCCACTCCCAAAACATCTTTCAGAGCTAAAAATTCTCTCCATTATTTCAATAACCATAGAAAAGCTTATTAGTTACAGGAACTTATGAAAGTGTAGAGCGTTACTTTAGGAGAATAATTTCTGTTTCACATACATCAAAAAAGTTCAACTTAGATTTTATGGGATTACATTTTTCAAATTTTAGTTGAATATTACACTAATCTTGTTGTTATCATATGGTTGGAGGCAACCGGCGGGATGCCTTGGATCTAGGTTTCGTGCCTGCTGGCACTCGTCAGCAAGAAATATCTGCAGCCTTAAGGAAAATCATGTCCCTTCTGAGATTCCAACCCTTGTCACCCAGTGCTTCAGTCAGAGACTTCACCACTGAGTTATTTGGGCTCGCGACTGATCTCCTGCAGGATTGTATTAGATACTTTGATTGGGCCATGCACCGTGATGAAGAGCCATCTAGCATGGTGGTCGCATTGTAAACTTGACAAATAGAATTCACTTTGCGGCAAATACAGAGCTGCACGCAGGACACCAGTTAGTGTCCAGTCAAACTACACTAGTCTCCTACTTAAAACATCCTAAATAAATTAGTCAATTTAACTGAATAAACTGGGACTGAAAGCTTGATAATCACTTATGAAACATTATTTTAGTCAATCTGGCAAAGGAAACTGGCTTTCATAATTTACTGAAAAAGTCTAGACACTTGTAGTTTTTGATGTTTAATAGGTAGTTGATACTAATCCTTTTTTCAGATATGCACATAATTATAAGAATTGACTAATGAAAAAGTATGACAGATATTATGAATGATCACTGATATGAAATTAACGTGTTAGGATTAACTGATAAAATTTAGAGGAAATAAGCTTACCGTCATCTGAGTCCACAGCTTCAACAGGGAACTTTTCATTGTACATTAATAGCGAAAAAAGGATAAAGAAGATTCTAGTGTGATTAAAATTCATTTCTGGTCTACGATTTAAACGGATGCAGATGTGCCTATTGTCCTTCGGTTTTGTTGTTTTCAGGACTGGGATATTTTTTTTGTGGAAATTATTTAGTTGATACAGATTGAAAATAATATTTAAATCTTGGTGAATTTTTTGTTCAAGTAACCGGTGTTTATTTCATAAAGTGATATACTTCTGTGAATGTGTTGCACAAATCAGTCAGTGTGGAGCGGATATATAAAATAACACGATAAGTAAAGAATTAAGGTTATAATAACCTGTTATCAAGTGATAGGCTGGTTGCTTATTTCCCATGTTAAAGAAAATATTCATTTGGCTTAAACGGGACCATGATATTTCATTGGATGAAAAATAATTTTGTGCAGTTTTCCTACCTACCAAATGGTAATATTTCCAAACCAATCACATGCATGCGAGTTGATAAGATTATCAAGCATGTGTAAAACGAAGAATTAGGTAATTTTACCAATTTCTCTTCCTCATTTTTATTTTTTTTTTCTGGTGAACTTAGTGTACGAATTAAAAACCAAATAGTTCATATTCCCTGGGTTATGGGGCTTTGTTTGATAGATAATAAGTTCATGAATGACACAAGAGTTATAAGTCATTTGAGATGGAAATGATTCATGACCTGGGGATAGAAAACAAAGAAAACGCACATAAATATTGTGTGTAATACTAAACAGTAGCTGACGACTGAAAATCACAGTTATATTATCAGTAATATTAACGAAGAAGCTGCAAACCCAAATGATTATGGAAGAGAAATAAGTGTACTGAAATGATGTGAATGACAAACTATCCACATTGTACGCTAAACGTTATATTCATTTTCTATAATTTGGTTTGTAAGGGTTAGTTATGTTTTACGAGTTGATCACGGACTGATATGAATTAGAGAACCATTGAAAACCAGGGGGTACTGGACAGCTGTTTCATCCTGGTTTGGGAATCATCGGCAGTACGCACCCACTGGGATTCGAACCCAGGGCCTTCCGGTTACAAGGCAAGCTCGTATACCATTCAGCCATTGGGACCCGATCAATGGCCAGTGCATGAATTCTAACTTCTACCAATTCGTGATTTAGCGCGACCCCAACCATTGTCGTTGGTGGGACATCCATCCACACACGTGACATCTAATTGCACGTCACTGGTCACGACTTCTCACTAGAACTCCAGGAAACTCCATCCTGTAGCAAGTTACTAGCGAGCATCAGATTAATTTTCTATAGTTTGATTTGTAATGGTTAGTTATTTTCATTGTTTGCCTTCTGCGTCGTACTCAACAAAACCTAACACCAAGAATATGTGTCTCTGAATCGAATTCCCTGCTGGTTTAACCTCATGGAACCATTATGGATATGTTAAATTCCATTGAGACAAAATCATTGAGGCCTTTATTTACAGTTTTCTGTATTGGTTTGCGATATAAAGTCAGTGATAGTAACACTGATAGATATTTCTTTTAGAGATGAATAAACATGTTATACGGTACTGGTATTAAGAAATAACTGATGTTTACATTTACTACATTTTGGACTTTAGTTTTTTCTAACGAGGTGTCAGCAAGACATTAGAAAAGACAGATAACCATTTCAGTCATAGGCTATTAGGGATCACTGAAGCAAATGTAAGGTTAATGATTGTGAGTCTGAATTAGTTTTATCAACTATTCGAAATCTGATAATTGGTTTGAGTTTTGCAGGTCCTAAATACTGATAATACTTCCTTCCTCCCCAAAATATGTGCTATGTGGTCCTTAATTGTCTATTAATTTTATTTCTTCTATACATGTACTAGGGCTATATAACTTTTGTAGTAGTTATTCTTGTTTTCCTGTTCTACTTCATTTCTTACCTGTTACTCCTATAAATAAGATAACTTGAGGGTAAACTTTGTATAATTTTTATGAATATGAAACGGGAAACTTTCCTATTTCTAGAATCTACATAGTTCAGAATAAAATCCATCAAAATTCTTGTTTTCCATAAGTTATATAGCAAAATACGCACAGGTGTAGATAGTTGTGAAAGTTATTTCCGACATATGAATGAATGAAGTGAAGCATTAATTTCACTCTACCACAGTGCACAAGTTTTATTCTTATATCAATGAAGCATTAATTTCACGTGAAGCCTTTTTTTTATTCTTTTACGTTCCAAATGAAACATAGGGCTGCAAGCTAGAGGCTTGAAGTTTCAGTACCAGTGGTGTTTATTTTTACGGGATGGCGTTGCTATCCTCATGCCCGACCTTCCATCTTTACCAGTCTTATTACTGGCTTAGCGGGGTAAGGCAGTGCGTGTCAGCCGGGGATCGTACTTCGAACCACCTGTGTGGTTGGCGGGCTTTCTACTGCTCTACGCTTTTCAACCAATTATTTTTGTGATATCCTAATTTTTATTCAGAAAGTATACTTCGACTTATTAAAAAGAAAGGAATTCTAGCGGAGAAAGAAGTCAGGTTTTGAAAAATATTTTCTTGATCGAATAAGTAATTTTCAGAGGCCGCAGTCGTAGGGAAGTGACTTACTGATTGGTTTTTCAAGATATAACTTTGCATAGAAGCGCAGCCCTTCAAGCTGCTACATTTCATATATCGCACAAAGCAGGAAAAAAGTGATTCAAAAGAACGCTGATATTATCATTTATATATAAACAAAAATGTGAGGGAGAAAGAATATTAATGACATGGAAAAAAAGCAATGGGGTTCAATAGATATCTGCAGATCAGAAAGAGTGAAGAATGCATCTGATCCATTGGGAATTATTGCGAACCATATCACCAATTGTCTACAGTCGTTGGTTCCTAGCATTCCAAGGATTTCAACTAGCCATTTCAACCGGCCAAGCAGTTTACATCTCTTTCTATGTGACTGGCTCAAACTGGCAGTCATAGATTTCCTGAACAGATTTCAAGTTTTGTTCTGACCACTAGAGCTGTTTTCCAACCTGATCCTATAATCAGGTAACATTCCACATCAAGGTAGGCAATGACTAGGGATGTTTCAACCATCTCGATGAATGTAACTTCACAACCTCATCGATTGATTTTCCCTCCTCACCTGACCTCTATATTACTCACCCTGTTATACTATGCGTTGATATGACTATATCTGATCTAATCCATCAATAAATGAAGACTCACCAGCAAACATTACGCAGAAATCACCAGTGATATTTCTCACTGATTTTGTTCATGTTTTTACAAAAATTATTTTATATTACCTTGAAACCATGTTCATTTATTAAATTCTGTTGTCTTAATGACAGAACATTTTGGTGAAACTTTGACGACATTAATTAGTCGCACATCTCACAGCTGCTAACTCGGAAGCAGTGACTGGAGGCGGTAGCATGATAATCTGCAACTCACTAGCACAGTTAATGAAACTGTTAAGTACCAAAAGTCATTCTTTAAACAAGGAAAAATTATTTTTAGATAAATGACTCTTAATTTCAAGTCGTAAGGCATACAACAATAACGAGTGAAATTAAAGAGACCAGGATAATTATTCGACAGAAATTCAATGTGATTGGAGAATATTTTCATAGAGGAGAAACTAGCCCATTAAAATGGATTTGTTCCAACCTAATATTATGCTCATTGGCAGCTTTACAAACTAATCACAATCTTAATTGACAATCAGTAATTAATTCGTATAACTTGTGCTCTTGAAAATCTTACTGCATTCAGTTTTACTTTTCATTTGAATAACAATAACAAACGTACAAAGACTTTACGTATTGTAACTTGGATGCTATCAACCAGGTTTCAACTGACTACGAACTGATATTGATGTCTAGTTGATAGAATAGCAGCTTGAAGTGGCTGAAAAGGGATAATTTATTCACGAGTTGCATCCTATTGACTCAGTATATTCAGATAGCAACTATGTTAAAATATTATCAGAGTCTAGAATAATTGGCCAGTTAACCGATTATTTTTGCTTACCTTAAATGAACATAGGTGTCAATACATTCATTTGAACTACAGACTATGTGACATCCATCAGGCATAATACACAAATTACTAGGCTTCGAGAAAATTGTAAGTATTGAATGTAATGCAGCGTTTGCATTCTGTATTAAATGTTTGAAGCAGAACACCTACGGAGGAAGAGAACCCTCTGGGGGATATAGTGAGTAATTCTGAGGACGAAAACGGTTAAGCCTTAAGCTTTCAGCTAACTTGCTGTATTTTCTTCGTTATAGACTTCTACAGACAGCGGAGGCCTTAGCCATTCATGAATTTAAGACAGACCTTTGTTTACAAAAGAAGTATGTGCAATCCTTACTTTTGCCTTGGCGTTGAGGGATATTTACTTTTTATTTTGTTTATTTAGTTAATCTGTGTACCTTTCTCTGATTACTACGTTTATTCTTATTCTTATTATTACTATTCTCCCTCTGAATTGTTTCCGCTTGCCCCAATTGTCAATGCAAACCTAAAATTGTTTTGCAATATTGAATTCTATCTTACCAAATTTAACACCATGTTACGTAATATTTTATATTAACCTACTAATCCTATAATTATACACCCCTTTCCAATATCTATATATCTTATGAATTATTCTATATATGACACTAATTGTTTTGCTACTTGACATTTAATTATGATTATAAACACAAATATTTTAATTGCATTTCATACTACTATTATTATTTCATATATTCACACCTTTGGTCTGACTGCCTCACTGGATATAATTTCTTAAAAACCATATATATATATACAAATTTACAGCTTGATAATAAATTCGTTGAAAAGAGTCTCTACGCTGAATATTGTGGTACTAATTTTTCTGCCAAATTGTGTTTATAATTTTTCAGCTGAGTACCCGTTGATTCCCAAAAGAAAAAAGTTTGTCTGATGGTATTTAGATTATTAGCTGCTCCTGCTCAAAAAGCTGTGAAGGGTGGGCAACCAGACAGTGTAAAAGACAAACTGCTGAACATCTGGATAGGAATATTAATAGAAAGCACAACTTTGCGAAAGACAGCAGGAATACTTTCTACATTATTTCTTGCATTCTATCAAATCTTTCCAATAAGATTTAAAATTACCATTTACACAAAGTTTAAACTATGGGAAATCAGAAAAGTAAACGTAATAAGTGTGTTAAAAAGAAAATTGTTCCAGCTGTGTTTCTCTACCGATCGAGGTAAACGAATGCGACATTAAGGCTTATATCCCTTCTCATATCTCTACACTTGTCATAATTTGTTTTTAGTATTGAACACCTTTTGTACGTTGGTGGTTCACTGGTAGTGTGGCCA